GCCTGATGTGAATTAATATGGTGGCATGTAAGATTGCATGCCCCCAAGTTGACATTGGAAGTTTTGATCTCATGAGTAATGGTCTTGCAATTAGTTTTAAACGTTTGATAAATGATTCTGCAAGTCCATTTAGTGTATGAACATGTGCTACTGGATGTTCAATATCAATTTCAATGGATATACAATGCTCATTAAAAGCATGAGATGTGAATTCACCAGCATTATCCAAACGAATTTTCTTAACTGGATAATCAGAAAAATGAGTTCTTAATCTAATTAGTTGAGCTAATAATCTCGTAAACGCCTGGTTGCGAGTTGATAATAGACAAACATGTGACCATCTTGTTGATGCATCAATTAAAACCATAAAATATCTAAATGGTCGACATGGGGGTGTATTGGTCCACAAATATCACCTTGTATTCGTTCTAAAAATAAGATAGATTCATTCCCAATTTTTGCTGGTGATGGTCTAGTTATTAACTTTCCTTGGGAACAAGCAATACATGAGAAAATATTTGATTGAATAATCTCCCGACTCTTCAATAAATGTCTGCATGAATTTTTAATTATTTTTCGCATCATGATAGTCCTAGGGTGACCCAATCGATCATGCCAAACCTCAAATTTATTTTGATTTGTAAACTTCTGGTTTATAATAGTATGCGTTTCAACTGTATTAACATACGTGCAATACAGTCCATAAGAGAAAACAAGTAATTTTTCCAATACTTCCTTTTTATTCAAGTGGATTTTCGTGATATAAAGATATTCTACATTTCTTTCATTGTTTGTTTCAATATGAAACCCATTTAAATGAATATCCTTGAAACTTAATAAGTTTCTATAAGACTTAGAAGAATATAATGCATTTTTAATATGCAACTTCGTTCCTCTCGGTAATAATATATTAGCTCTTCCGGAGCCTTCAATTATATTTGTAGTACCAGATATGGTACTAACTTTGATTTCTTGCATCACTAAATTTGAAAAGAATTTATTATTCTTGAGAATCGTGTGAGTCGTTGCACTATCAACGAGACACATATCTTCATTATTGATGCTATGGTCAATATCCATAATCCAATAATTTAACGATAATTTGTATATTAAAAAAATTCATAATCTAATAACATCAAAACATAAGAAATACCCAAAATCTAATAAATAAAATATGGAGAAAAAAAATTCTAAACACTCCCATCACCAATAAGGTGATCAATTTTTCCATTTGGATCGGCAAAGAAATCAGCAACATCCAAGTGAATAACATCCATATGACCATAATCTGAATCACCGTCTTCTTGAGCAAAATGTGTCTCTATCTTTTTCTTCTTATTAATTGATTCTTGGTAAAGTTCAACAAGATGCTTTGGTGTACGATAAGTACGTGACCAATGACCCTTGGCACCACAATGATAACATTTGTTTTCCTCGTGTTTGTTACCATGTCCATCCATTTCCTTCTTATTTTTCCTATTATTTTTCCACTTCTGGTGTGAAAAATTGTTTTTTACCTTATAACCATGACCACGACCGTCTTTACTACCACGACCACGACCATGACCACGACCACGACCACGACCACGACCACGATTATTTCCACGACTGTGACCATAGCCTTGACCACTAGTTTCTTTATCATGTTTTGCAATATTCACTTTTGGGAATGGAGCAGAGCCAGTTGGTCGAGTCTTATGATTTTTTAATAAAAGCTCATTATTTTGCTCAGTCACAAGGAGGCAGGAAATTAATTCAGCATATTTCTTAAATCCTTTTTCTCGATATTGCTACTGTAGGAGCACATTAGATGCATGAAAAGTGGAGAATGTTTTTTCTAACATATCTTCATTAATAATTTTTTCTCCACACAATTTCAATTTAGAAGTAATTCTAAATATTGCATAATTATATTCACTTACAGATTTAAAATCTTGTAATCGTAAATGCATCCAATCATAACGAGCTTTTGGGAGAATCACAGTTTTTTGGTGGTCATATCTTTCTTTTAAATTATTCTAAAGAACAAGTGAGTCTTTTATGGTAAGATATTCAGCTTTTAACCCTTCATGAAGGTGATGACGAAGAAAAATCATAGCTTTAGCCTTATCTTGGTTAGATGCTTTGTTTTCTTCTTTAATAGAGTCTCCAAGACCCATTGCATCTAAATGTATTTCAACATCTAATATCCAAGATAAATAATTCTTTCCCGTAATGTCGAAGAGCAACAAATTCGAGTTTCGCAATATTTGACATGTTCAATACTATCATAAAAGAGAGACAAAATTAGGAAAGAAAAAAAAATCATAAATAGCCATAAAATTATTGATTATTAATAGTGCTTTCATAATGGAAATCAAATTGTCTATAATTTAATATATATTATCACACACAAAATAAATAGAATATATGGTATATATATATATATATATATATATTGATATGACATAAAAAAAATTTATTGCAAAATATTTAAATTAATAACATGAGCAGAAAATATGTTTCATAATAATAATATTATTATTATTAGGCAGAATAAATGTATGTAATATGTAGAATGTATCACGTCAATAAAACATAGATATTTCTCACTTCTGGTGAAAAATTAATAAAATAATAGAAGTTGAACATTCTTCTTTGATAATGTCTTCTAGACATTTAAAAAATGTACGAAAATTTTTTTTATTTCATAGTATCTTTAGGACTACTTTGATTCAAAATAATGTAAATAATATAAATATTTGATAAAGTTCTTATTATGAAAGATAAATAACTAACCTTAAAATATATGTCTTGAAAAATATGATCTTCTTGAAAAAAAAAAATTTCACAGCTTTCTCTTGTAATTGCAAGACCAATAGATAAAAGACTATCGTGCTAATAACGTGTTATAAAAGGAAAAAAAAATAGAGAGAACAAATAAGACAATGTGAGATGGAGAAAATAATCTGATTGGTGTATTATCTTTGAGAGAGGACTAACCTATTTATAAGTACATGTGGTAACTGAACATTTATAAAATAAAAAGAATAATACATAACGAAAATATAAATGATAATGATTGATAATGAATATTGACATTTACTAATTAAGCCACTAATTATTATTTATAACAACAATAAAAATTTGAGAAGACATAATAATTATTTAATTTAAAACAATGACAATTACATGACATTCAAAGAAAATACATAATAAAATATAATTAAATACAATATATACAACATAAAATTAATTTTCGTTATCCTCTTTCCCAAATCATTCCTAAATATGTTGAACCACATCTGTCGTGGTGTATGTCTTTATTTTGAATCATTACTCTCATTTGAAAGTTTGTTGATCTAAAATTGAGATGAGCACGGGAAGATATATCGATTGTTGACATGCCAAACGTTTTTACTGTCCCTCCTTAACTCAATAAATTTTGCATGGTTGATAAATTGTTTCCCTTTTATTTCTATATATTGAACTGTTGATCTAAAATTACTTTTTTAATGGTAAGAATCAATTGTTTGATAAAAGATCGTAAATTTTTTTAAACAGCTTTTATTACCATGTATATGATTGCTCAAACGAGAGAATTACTTCAAGAAATTGGAACTTCATTAAAAACATCTTAATACATCCACAACCCAAACACCACAATACAAGTTCCAAGCTACAAATTAAAAACAAAAGTTCCTAATTACTAAATAATCTAATATATTACAAATTTATTATTATTAATTATCTATTAAATATAAATACAATATAGCCTAATAGATTTTTATTAAAACCCAAAACCTGACCTATATATTTAGTTAAAAAAATTTTAAAAAGTCTAAACTTAACTTTTTTAATATACAAATCACACCTTTTGTAGTCCAAGCTAGGGATGGCAACGGGACGGGGCGGGGACAGGTTTCATGATACCCATCCCCGTCCCCGCAAGCCAAACTCATCCACATCCTCGTACCTAGGGATGACAAATATACCCGTACTCGCGGGTAATACCCGAACCCGTCCCAACTTTGACAGGAAATACCTGGTTTGACCAGGTACGGGTACGGGTAAAACCCGATATATTAAATCGGATACGGGTATGTACTTACCCGTCTCGTACCCGTACCCGTCCCCGTTCCCATTTTTAATTTAATACTCACTTTCAATTTAATTATATTAAAGAATTTTAATATTTTTTTATGTGTAATTATTTATTATAATATGAGATAAAAAAAATAACCTAATTATAATTATAATATAATTAAAAAAAATAATTTAAAAATATTATATTT